CTTTTGACCTGAATAAACTGTTTGAGTTCAATAAATATCTTTCTCTAAGTTCACTGTCTAATTGAAATCATTCATAATTTCATTAAGACTTTTACAACTTGATAGCAGTGGATTTAAAGAACATCCTCTACACATATATACAAACACATACACCTTAAGAGAAACTCTGCCAAAATAGATATCACTCAATTTGTCACTTTTATGAAAACCTTTCAAGAAACTATAAAAGCTCTTGCTATTGAGAAAGGAAAAGCTACAGCGTCAAATTCTTCTTCTTTCTCTTCTTCCTCTATCACTTCTGCTCCAAAGATTTCTCTCAAAATTCTCACCTTTAAAGGAGAACCAGGAAAAAATGTTAAAGCTTGGCTGCGCCAAACCAAAAACATTCTACATGCTCAAGAAGTAACAGATGAAGGAAAAATGATCTATTATGTTGCCACTGGATTTAAAGAAGTTGCTCTTTATTGATTTGTTAACAAGATCAAAGATGCAACAGGTCCTATGTTTACTTCCTGGAACCAATTCAAGAAGGAACTTAAAGATGCTTTCCAACCTCTACACTATCAACAATATCTCTGAACTTAGTTAAAGAACTTGCGTCAAGTAGGAACCGTCCAAGAATACAGCTTTCAATTTAGAAATATGGTATGTCAGATTGATAATATGGGAGCTCTGGATCAAGTTGCCTACTATGTTGATGAATTAAAACCTGTGACAAGAATGGAAGTAAGCTATTAAGCCCCTGAAATATTAGATGATGCTGTGAAACTAGCAATTTGCTATGATACTGTCATGTTTGAATTAGGAAGACCAAAAATAGGAAGTTATCCCTCAAGACTCTTAACCTCCAAAAAGAATTTCAAGAATCAAAATGATCCAATCCCAATGGAATTAGATCAAGCTGAGGCAGAAAAGAAAAGAAACTTTCCAAAACAAGGGAAGCAAATTACTTGTTACAACTGTGGAAAAGAAGAATATATGGCAAGAGAATGTAAAGAAAAATTCAAAGTCAAAGTATCAGTTATTGAAGAACAAGCCTTCATCTTCTTCAACGCCGAATTTGTCCATATTGAGGAAAACAAAGAGCAACTGCTATGCTTAAATGGGAAAATTAATGACCATCCTGCTTGGATCCTCTTGAATAGTAGAGCCTCAAAAAACTTTGTCAATAAAAATTTTACAATACATTATCAATTGCAAAAAGAAGATACCACTCCCTTCACTGTAGAACTGGCTAATGGAAGAAAGAAAGAAGTTACTAATAAGGTCAAGATTAACAAGTTGGAATTAGATACTTACCGAACACCAGAATTACTGTACAAGTTCTCAACTTATAAAAATATGATGCCATACTTAAAAAACCCTGGTTATACCATGCCAATTTCAACATTGATTGGAGAACCAACACCTTATCTTTTCAGTATAGGAAGTGCAACATCAAAGTCAAAGCAAGTTTCAACAGAACCAATTAGAATTCTGAATGCTATTTTATAATTATCTCAAGACACCAACTAGCCAGAGTATCACCAACTGAAAAATTATTTGCCATTTGTACCATTCAAAAAGACTTCAAGTTCAAAAACTCTAGTGTATTAACAGAAGAACAAGCAATTATTCAAGAATTCCAAGACATGTTTCCAAAAGACTTGCCAAAACAACTGCCACCAAAAAGAAGTATCGACCATGCTATTGAACTAATTCCAGGTGCAGAGCCTCCATCCTGACCTACCTATCACTTATCTTATTTGGAGATAGATGAGTTAAAGAAACAACTTGCCAACCTAACTGAAAAAGGATTTATCTGACCAAACACGTCTCCCTTTGGTGCTTCTGTTTTATTTGTACACAAAAAGGAAGGAATACTGCAACTTTGTGTAGACTACTGTGCCTTAAACAAGATCACCATTAAGAATCGATACTCTCTATCCAGAATTGAGAAATTATTGGATCGATTGGCTGGAGCCAAATATTTCAGCAAAATTGACCTTTACTCAGAATATTATCAAATCCAAATCAAGGAGAAAGATATTCACAAAACTGCCTTCAGAACCTACTATAGACATTATAAGTTCTTGGTATTACCCTTTGGTCTCACTAATGCCCCTGCAACATTCATAACCTTAATGAACAATATCTTTCAAAAACACCTTGATGATTTTGTGATTGTCTATCTTAATGACATTCTCATTTATAGCAAGATCAAAGAAGAACATTTGAAATACCTACACACCATCTTGACAATACTAAGGAAGCATCAACTCTACACCAAGGCAAAGAAATGTGAACTAATCTGAACCAAGATTAAGTATACTGGACATTACATATCTGCTAAAGGAATTACTGTAGATTTTTATATATTATTCTACTAAATTTTTCAATTACCAGTATGATACTTGCAAACTAACCTAGCTTATTGTTAACTATATTGGTATTGACTGCCATATTTCTTTGAATATAGTGGAGCATAACTCCTTGGATATTTTTGAATAATAATAACTGTATACCAGTTTCTTAGATATATCTAATCTAATTATTAATAAGTAAATAATATTGGATTTGATAATAATAATTATGTCAATCTTTTGAAGAAGATAAACCATCCATTCTTTTTTTGTAAGGTTATAGAAAAGAAAAAAATTTTAAAGTCCATATCTTAAGAAAAGTTATTATTTCTAAATATAGTTTTTGAGAAAAAGAAGTTAACTAGCCAGAAAAGTGATATTATAGAGAGCAAAATTAAAAAAAAAATTTTCAGGAAAAAGAAAAAACCTAACTTTGGTAGAAAAAGAGAAAAAAAAAATAATATATATAAAAAAGTATATAAAAAAGAAGTAAAAAAAATAAAAGAGAGGAAATAAAGAGATATAAGAAAGAGAAAGTAAAAAAAAAATAAAAAGCAAAAGCAAAAAAAAGTAAACAACTTAAAAATTTCCTTAAAATATAAATTAATATTTTGATAATAAAAGAACAGGTTATTAACTAATATTAACAATAGTTAATAAATTGTTTATATAATAAATATTTGTGATTTTCATTAATTTATAATAAAAATCTCATATGTATTGCACTTTAATTCTTAAAAAAAAAAAATCAAATCAATAATTATTTTTTAAAAAAACTTTTTTCCACTTCTTTCCAAATGCTTAAAAAAATTTTTTTAAAAAACTTTTGTATTGTTTATTTTTTTTTTCTTTACTTTTTACTTTTTCTCTGTTTTTTTCTTTTTTATTTTTCTTTTCTTTCCCTTATTCTTTTTCTCTATTTTATAAACTCTTTTGTTACAACTTATCTCTTTTCCTTTTTGTTTTCTTACTTTTTCTGTCAAAGTTAGATTTTTTTTTTTAAAGGTTTTTTCTTTTTAAATTTCTCTTTCTTTTTTAAAATATCATTTCATTTTATTACTTCTCTAGTGATAGACTTTTCTTTTTTTATTTATTATAAGAAGTGGCAATTTATCTCTAGATATGGGCTTTGGAAAACTTTTCTTTTCTATGATATTCAAAAAAAAGCTAGATGATTTACCTTTTTCAAAAATCGATATGATTATCATTATCAAATCCAATGTTATTTACTTATTGATAACAAAGACTAGATATATCTAAGAAACCATTGTATAACTATTATTATATGAATTTTCAAGAAGTTGCACCCTATAGTATTCAGAGTAATATAACAGCCAATGTCAATACAATTATTGCAGGTGTTATACTGGTAATTGAAGAATCTAGTAAAATAATATATAATGATCAAGAATTTTAGTTACTCTTGCAAACAAAGGTAAGAATGACAATGCAAGTTTCTTACTTATCTCTTGACAATATAGATCCATTATACAAGGTTAGATAACAACATTTATAAAAAATTTCAACTTCATTATGATTAATAACTTTTTTTAACAACTATTACTATATATCCAAACACTTTTTTGCCATTTCCTTTTGCCTTATACTTATGCTGAATTCTACTCAAATACTTAAATAATATAATTATGTATGCAAAGTTTCTTGTAAAGAATGGTTATTTTCTTCCCTACTTGCTGCAAGTATAGATAATTGTCACAAGCTTGAGTAACTTATAATCTGTTATAATTCTAGAAGAATAAAGAAAGTCAAATATTAGATGATCGAATAAAAGACTAATTTCTACTAGTTGTCCTAACCAGAGTAGTGACCATTTAACTACTTAAGCAAGTTATTTAGGTAAAACATAAGGTGAAACATATTTGACTTATCATATATTAAATCACATTTGAAAAGCAAGTATATCAATCCTAATTATAACTAGGGCTCCTAATGATACTACTTCAATATCAATTTAATACCAGTTTAATACTTAAATTTACTATAAAAACATATAAATAGGTCACAACCTATATATTAAATTTACTATATATTAGTACTATTTCAATACCAATTTGATATCAGTTTGATGCTTTTTCAGAATTCTAATTATAACTTGAAAATCAACCTATATATAGTAACCATAGCACCTTCATATAATTAGATATTCAAATTTTTCTAGATAGCTAGATACCATTCAAAACATAATATAGGTTTTGAATTTCTTTTTCTTATGTATATTTTTGAGTAATATCAAGAAACTTAAACAAAAGAATTATTTTTTTAATCCAATATTTAACTTTTTCTAATAAAGAGAAATGTATATTACACTATTGAATTATAAATCTTGTATTTGCAAGTCTAAAATTATAAATAAAGATAATGTGTGAGGACCACCTATTCCTTCAAAAAAAAATCAAATAAAATCAAATAAAATCAAATAAAATAAAAAATAAAATCAAATAAAAAATAAAATTATAAAATTAGTTTAAAAAAAATCCGTAGTACAATTTAAACTCGTGATTGACTGATCAACATACATTTACAAAGATATGTTGTACGAAATCTACAAAATTCTGTAAATACATTCTATTGTATCCTAAAAAAAAAAAATCCTTCACAAATCTTTGTTGTAGACGTTTCAACCACATATTATCAACTATGGCTGAAAATACAGCGGGCGAACCAACTGTCCCGGAGAAAGCTAATGAAGAGGTTATTTAATTTGACGCGTTTCCTGGTTGCTCTTTTTTCAAAAGCACAGGCCTTACACTCGAATTACGATTGATTTCTTTAAGCAGGAGGAGGCACCTCCTTCACCTACATTTGAACCTGTTATCAAATTAAACGAAGTTGATGTTAAGACTCTCGAAGAAGACGAAGATGTTTTATTTAAAATGTGAGCTTAGCTTTGTTGGGGTGGAAAATGTTTATTAGACAAATTCTGGATGTAAATAATTTGGTTATTTGAGCGAGATATTTTCACAACAGCTATTCACTTGCTTTTAACCCCCTGTTAGGGCGGATTGGTAATGAGTTGCAAGTTAGCTAAACTGTTGGATACCAATCATGGAAGAAATTCTGTGTAGAAGATATTAATATTTTTCTATACTCTACGAGCTTCCAAACACCTTCACATTGTAAACAGATTTATATAATATAAGTTGTAAACATCACTTTTTATTGATACGTTATCTACAATGTCTTCTACTTTGTTTATTAGGCGCGCCAAGCTATTTCGATTCGATAAACCTCTGAAGGAATGGAAAGAACGCGGTACTGGCGATGTACGTTTCCTCCAACATAAGGAAACAAAGAAGATTCGTTTAGTGATGCGATGGGATAGAACCCACAAAGTTTGTGCGAATCATTACAGTAAGTGTTCTTAATGTTGCGCTTGAATTTGCATTTAAAGTTTGTTTATGATTAATTTAACTGTTCGTCAAATATTTTAGTTACCGCGGACATGAAACTTTCTCCCAATGTTGGATCAGATCGCTCATGGGTATGGAACGTTGCCGCGGATATTTCTGATGGTGAACCTAAAGCAGAGACCCTAGCTATCAGATTTGCAAATAGTGAAAGTAGGTTCTGCGCATCTTATGTCACGAAGTAAAGTTGAAATTATTATGTATAATTATTTTATTATATTGTTTATAATACCTACTAGATGCAAAAAAGTTCGAGGAAAAGTTTTATGAAGTACAGAAGATGAATATCGAGCTTTCGAAGACAACAGATGGTGAAAATTCAGAAGAAACAAAAGAGGAAAAAAATGAGGAACAAAAACAGGACGAATAATATTTACTGCTTATTATCATAATTTCACATTCGCATTTCTTTCATTGCTGTCCCGGAGGTCCGGAAAAGTTCATATTTTGTATTCTCCTTTCCATTTATGGTAAACAGTTATTTCACAAGTTATTCTTAGAGGACTTATTTTTCGTGATCCAGGCAGTATTAATCCATGTAATGCTATAAACCTATTTGTACAGTACGGTTATTATTTGTTTTACATGCCATGCATTTAACGAATAATAGTACTGTTTTCTACATCCAGACGTTTACTATGTAACGATAATGGGCAAATTCTTTTGCATTAACTTTGCAGATTCTAATTTACATTTATAAAATATTAATTGGTCCCAGAAAAATAATTATATATTTTATTTTTAAACCGATATTTGGCTTTTGTGCTACAGTAGTTGATATTACAAAAGATCCAATTCGAACGATTCGAATACCCTGATTTTGAAATTTGAATATTTGACGAATTAGTTTTTTTAATTACCATATAAGCAAGCTTAGTTTGGGCCGGAAGTCAAAATAATATCTATACGATGATACTATATATATGACGCAATTCAAAGTATTCTAGTTTATGTTAGATATTTTAACAAAAAATTTATATGTATTAAATTTAATTAATTCCTTAATTAAATATAGAATCAAAAAAATTTTCATATTTTGTTTAAGAAACTAAAGATTTGGATATAAACAACTTCTTTTTACTGTTAAATGTAATTTTGCATTGGAAAAAAGTCTTTCATTTGATGCTAATGTTGCAGATATATAGTGGGGGACAAAAAAAACCGCCTTTAATATTAAGGTAATATACTTTTTATAATCTTTATCAATAAAATAAATATTATATATTATATGATAAATAGTAAGATATGAGATATATAATTATATATATTGGTCTATCACCTATTTTAGTAAATGTATTTTCAAAAAATCTTAAGCAAAAAAAATATTTATTAAAAAAAAATAAAATAAAAAAAAACATTTGAAGCAAAATTACCAGTATTGTAAAAAGATTAAATAAAAAAAAAAGAAAAATATTAATATTAATATTGAAACTTTTATTAAATATAATTTCTAAATACAATTGGTTATTTTAATTAGATGTTAGCATTATACAAGTTACATATAATTTGATAGATTTGATTATGTAAATTTTTATAATATATTGTTATTATATAATATAATTGAGTTGTAATATTAATAATAAGACAATTAAAATCTATTTTAGATAATTATTATATTGTTTTGATAAATTATTATATATTAGAATTATTAGAATTTGTGTAGGATATTAATTATATACTTTTCTAATCTAATAAATTGTTGTATTTTTTTGATACTATTAGATAATATAAAATATTATTGATATATTATATAGTATAAATTATATATATAGTAAAATTGAATTCAAATATTTTTCAAAAATCATATTACTATCAAAAATATAATAAATTAATTGAAAATAATATTATTATATATAGTAAAAATTGACAATATAATCATATATATAAAATAGATTATTTGATAAAAGTAAATTAATTATAATTTTTAATATAAAAAATTTGTAAGTGAAAACTAATAGTTAGCTAGAAGATTATAAAAAATTTTGCATTAGATATTATTTTTTTTTTTAATTTCACAATCAGGTTGGTGTCGTTTATTTATTAAATTATAAAGAACTATTACAAGTTAAGAATACATGCAAAGTATAAATTTTCTTAACCCAACTCACCTGTTGATAGTCAAAACCTCTAGATACGATTTATGGGGTAATATGTTGTTTTCCTAAAGAATAAAATTAAGATTCTGAACTTTCGATAGAATTAAAACCTGCAGATTATCTCTATAGTCATAACTATAAATCCAAATTGTGTCACCTCCTTCTTGTAATAACTACACAAGGGGAAAAAGAAATAAAAAAAATTTTTTTGGACAAAAGAAAAGAAAAAAAGCTATCATCTATTCTAACTATCATTGAAGAGGTTATCTTTATAAACTTCAAAACTCAAGTCCCTTATGATTCCTTACTTCTTATCACCTGTGGCCAGTTAAACTATTTAATTTCTATTGGAGTAGTCAATATTCAAGAACATTTAAGGATACTTCCAGAAGAGTATTTCTTGAGACTTTATGCTTGAAGACTTCTAATCAAAAAGAATATTGGTTTTCTATTGTTGATTTCTCTTCCAAGCTATGTCTTCTGAAATTATTGCTTCATTCAACTAGTGAATAGTTTCAAGATTCCTTTCTCCAATTATTTTTGAGATAAATATCGATACTTTAACTTGTTACCAGATTGGGATAGGATCTAGACCTTGTTGCTATTTTCTGTCCTTAAAAAAGAATAGAAAAGAAAAAATAAATAAAAAGATGAAAACAAAAAGAGGTTGTTTTTTTTTTACTTACAACTTCAACTTCACCTAATACTCTCATACTACTTCTTTAACTAAAAACTGTTTAACTTTTTCAGAAACCAATCACATTATCAGTTTGGTGTTACATAACTGGAAACATATAAGGAATACATATCTTGTTTACTTTTTTTGTAATTGATGTGATTAACCAATCTGTGGCCTTGACCAATTATCTTTCAGAAAATTTGGTGTGACTAAAAATTCAAGGTCAAACTAAGGTAGGCATAATTCTCCAGAAAAAAAGAAAGCACTCTTGAGAAAAAAGAAATGAGAAGCCAGAGAAATAATGGGAAGACTGGAAATTTCTTTATTCTTGTTTCTCTAGATTCTTGAATTTTTTGGGAGTCTTTGGTGGATATTTTTTCTTGTCAGTTTTTTTCCTATAAAAGTGTTCTTGCTATAGACCTTTTAAATAGGTTTTTTGTATTTAGTTGCAAAAATAAACAAGAAAAGTGTTTTGAAAAAGAAAAATAAAACAAATGGTAGCTTCTGCTCGCTCAACTAGTTAAAAACCAGTATTGTTGTTAAGGAAAGTGTATAGACTTTATTATCATAAAGATATGAAGTCTTTTGAGAACATCCATTTTTTGGGTTGGCAAAAGAATCAGTGGAAAGAGTTTTCCTTGCATTAGATATTATTAGTAGAAAATAAAAATTTTTAAAAATAATAAAATACTATTTTTTAAAAAAAAATACTTAAAATATATTTAATTAAGAATTATAATATATGTTTAATAAATTATATATAAAAATAATCTTTATATAAAAAATTATCTTTGGACCTGTAGGTCAATAGCATAATGGGTAATGCTCACAGATTATCAAATGCATATTCTTAGTTCAATACCCATAGGAGGAAAAAGCGCATTTACTTTCATATGTATTTTACTGGATATCCTGCATATATCATATTCAATAATTCTTAAAATCACATCCAAATCTAGTTAGGCTACATGAAAATGGAACCTCTGGTCTTTTTAACAATCACAGGCTGAAAATAGGTTAAAGCACAGAAGATTGCATAAGGAAAGACTTCTGATCTAACTTCAGTAAAAGTCCACAAAATTTCAATCCAAATTGGCAACAGCAGACTCCGTCACACAACCCAAAGAGGTTAATCCTAAACTGATCTATCCCAATCTAGAGCTTAAGGATCTATCCCATAAGTGGTGTTTACATGAACTTAAATAGATTGAAAGGGTAAAAGATTATTGGCCACAGGAGATGACAATTCAGGCAAAAATTGTTAAGATCAAGTGAGTCTAGTAAAGATTATTAAAATTAAATTAGAATTCAAACAAGGACACCAGTTTCACAGGTAATGAAAACAGTAGTGCTACACTATACTAGTAACATATTCTGAGGATTAGTAATAATAGGTGATTGGAATAACTGGAATTAATCTCTATAATAACATCCCATACTACACTGCTCTTTGCAATATGGACTTAGTAGGTTAGGTGAATTTAAACTAGTAGTAGGATTCCTCCTCCCTGTGAAAAGTTCTATCTGATGTGTAAACACATTTTCGGATGTTTAAATGAATGCATAGTTTGGTATAAGTGGTTGATGTAGCTAGTCTTATAACAATATATATACTAATGCAGTATTAATCTGCAGATTAGCTGTAAAAACATAATAAGTATCCATATATCACTGATTTCTGATTAATTTGTAGAGATACTTGGTGTCTGTTTGGATATATAAATGTATCAATAAAGATCATATGCCTTGTATATATTCCACTTTAAAAAAAAAATAAATAAAAAATAAAAAATTATCTTTATTTATTTTGTTTATTTTAAGTTATTGTTCAATACTATTATCAATTACTAGATCTTTTGATATAAATTATTATTGAAATTTAAAAAATCAATTTTATCCTTAAAACTTTTATTATTTTAAATCAATTTTCTAATTTTTCTAGGTATCTGGCTTTCCAAACACAGTATTCTTATATCCAATCATAACAAAATTCTTGAAGATACTAAATCAATTGTCCAATCTCCCCTTAACTTAAAATTTATAACAGGTCATATGGCAGCATATATCTACAATAAAGTGCTTATTTCACAAATAGAATACAAATTATAAACAACCTTCTTTACACTAAACATGTTAAACAAAATACAAAGAAAAATCAATTCAATAATCAAACAAAAATTTAATATCAAAAAAACACTTCCACAATCATGATTTTACAATCCACCATTTTCAATATAAAGTCCATATCAGACCTACAATCAGAAGTTCTAATTTTCAATCTCCAATACACATTATCAAACCCCACTACCAAACTAAACAAAGAATTAGAAATCAATACAATACAAATTCAAAACTGTCAACTCTTTTATATCTTTCAAAATTACTAAACCATTAAATATAACATAACAACCTATTCAATACACCTTGCCAAACATTACAATTTCACATTCTGTTCTGAACCAGACTGTCATTACAAAATCTCAAGAGAAAATACACATATCTATTAACTTCTATCACATCATAAATATTGGTCAACATTTGCAAACCAACTCTTCAAAAAAAACATTTTCTATATCAAACAACTACTTATATATA